GGAATTTACCAGGGCTATACTGTATAAGTGGGGCCACGTGATATGAATTGTGGCCTTAGAGGAACATAACCTATGCTAAACAATAGAAGCTGAAAGAATACTGAACACATCCAATCTTTCCTTCTTCCCCAGTAGTTCATTTCCATTGACTGGAAGCCAGAGGACAAGAGAATATAGGTAATGCAGTCTATAGAGTCAGCCTTCTTGGACCTGGAACAGATGGAGAAGGGTGATGAGTGGATATGGGCAGAAAGAAAAAAATTGAACATAGAGTAGGAGGACATAGGGGTCCAGAAACAATGGACACACACACACACACACACACGTACACACGTGCACACTCTTGAAACTGATAGGTTACTTGATTTGTTTGAATGTATACATTAAAAAATATATTGAGTCTTCTACCAGGGAATGTGGGGATTGTGAAGCCAAAATGTCTGAGATAGGTCTCAGTCAATTTAGAAACTTTATTTTGCCAAGACTAAGGACGTGCCTGTAACACAGCCTTAGGAGGTCCTGACAACAGGTGCCCAAGGTGATTGGGGTACAGCTTGCTTTTTATACATTTTAGGGAGACATGAGACATTAGTATGTACATTGGTTTGATCCAGTAAGGTGGAACAGCTTGAAGTGGGCACTTCCAGTTGTTAAGAGTTGGCGGGGAGAAGGTTGGGGGTTGGGGGGGCCCATAAGTAGTTAAGAGATAAATGGTTTCATTCTTTTCAGTCCTTGGTCAGTCTTCCACTGAATACACAACTTAGTCTGGCCCAGTGAATCTGCATTTTTACATAAATAATAGAGCAGAGGAAGCAATCAGATACGCATTTGTCTCAGGTGAACCTCAGAGGGATGACTGAGTTCTGTCTGTCCTTTACCCACAAGGAATTCCCTTGTGGGCAAATGGTGAGGGAGCTATGTAGCTTTTTATCCTTGTAGCTATCTTATTTAGGAAAAAACTGGAAGACAGGTTTGTTTACCATAGTTCCCAGCCTTACTTTTTACTTGGCTTAGTGATTTTGGAGTCCTGATACTTACTTACCTTTCATAGGATGTATTAGTGATTCAACTAAAAAGTTAGACACAACTTGTCGGAGAGGGAAATATACTATGACAGAGAGCTAAATACTCATTTTCCATAAGAAATGATCAGCAGATAACTGGAAAAAACACAACAAATGGCATGTATGTATATATAGTACATACATACATATTTTGTAAATACAGCCTTTTTCTATACATGTTACTAGAAATACGAAGGTAAGTTTAAGAAGAAACAACTGAAAGAGTTAAAAATGGTCTTTTTGGAGGCCAGGGCGGGCCGATCACCTGAGATTGGGAGTTCAAGACCACCCTGACCAACATGGTGAAACCTCGTCTTAAAAAAAAAAAAGAAAAAATAAATTAAAAAAAGGAAAAAAAAAAAAAAGTGGTCTCTAGGCAGAACTCAGATGGAGGAGGTAGGACATTGAATTGTTCTTCATAGTAGGTTTTATGGAACTATTTGCTTTTTTAAAAAAATATGTATTTATACACACATAATTGTGTGTTACACCATTATACATACAACACATATGCAACACAAAAGTTGTATATCAGGGGCCCATTATACAGAGTGTGTAAAAACATTGCTGTCTCCAAGGTAGTGATTATTTGCATCATTTCTTTTGTTTTTGTTTTTGAGACGGAGTCTTGCTCTGTCACCCAGACTGGAGTGCAGTGGCGTGATCTTGGCTTACTGCAACCTCTGCCTCCCGGGTTCAAGCAATTCCCTGCCTCAGCCTCCTGAGTAGTTGGGATTACAGGTGCCTGTCACCATGCCTGGCTAATTTTTTGTATTTTTAGTAGAGACCAGGTTTCACCATCTTGGCCAGGCTGGTCTTAAACTCCTGACCTCATGATTGATCCACCTGCCTTGGTCTCCCAGAATGCTGGGATTACAGGCATGAGCTACCGTGCCCGGCCTATTTGCATCAGTTCTTAACTACTTCATTCTAATTGTCATTAGAGAATTTGGGAAAAATCTCTCTTGAGCTATTAAATGTTTGGCAGTAGGTGTGGTTTTTCTCTTCCCATCATATCTAGTATTTAAATCTTCAAATTTACTGCAAAATGTATTGAGTTTCTAATATGAGCATACATAGATAGCAATGTGCAGGGTTCTCAGAGCGATTACTAGTAGATTTGAGTTCTGTAGAATATTTGCAATCTAGTTGGGAAGATAAGGTACTCATCCATAAAAGTTTAATAATGGGCTAGGTGTGCTGGCTCACTCCTGTCATTCTAGCACTTTGGGAGCCCAAGGTGGGTGGATTGCATTAGCTCAGGAGTTTGAAACTAGTCTGGGCAATGTGGTGAAACCCTGTCTGTACCACATATACAAAAGCTTAGCTGGCTGTGGTGGTGGGCGCCTGTAGTCCCAGCTACTTGTGGGGATTGAGGCAGGAGGATTGCTTAAACCTGGGAGGTCAAGGCTGCAGTGAGCCGCGATTGTGCCACTGCACTCCAACCTGGGTAACAAAGTGAGAACTTGTCTCAAAAAAACAAAATAATGTAGCAGGTATTGAGTTTCCGATATGAACATACATAGCACTATACAGGGCTCTCAGAGCCATTACCAGTATATTGGAATTCTATAGAATATTTGCAGTCTAGTTGGGAAGATAAGGTACTCATATTAATACATAAATATTTGATAAAAGGCCAGGGCTGGTGGCTCATGCCTGAATGTCCAGCACTTTGGGAGACTGAGGCGGGAGGATCACTTGAGCCCATGAGTTCCTGAGACCAGCCTGGGCAACATGGTGAAACCCCGTATCTACAAAAATAAAAAAATTAGCCAGGCATGATGGCGCTTGCCTGTAGTCCCAGCTACTTGGGAGGGCTGAACATGGGAGGATTGCTTGAGCCTGGGAAGCTGAGGTTGCATTGAGCTGAAATTGCACCACTGCACTCTAATCTGGGCCACAGAGTCAGACCCTATCTGAAAAAAAAAAAAAAAAATGGATAATATATGGCAGTGCTGGGTATGACAGATTAATGGCAAAATAAGCAGTACAGAAAATAAATGCTTTAAGAGTTGATTATGGGCTGAGTATAGTGGATCATGCCTGGAAACTCAGCACTTTGGGAGGCTGAGGTGGGTGGATTGCCTGTGCTCAGGAGCTTGAGACCAGCCTGGGCAATATGACAAAATATCTCTTAAAAAAAAAAAAAGTTGATGAAGTTAGAGCCATCACTATATCCTTCTGGGGATTGAGCTGTTTGTTCATAACTGTATGGAAAAGATTTTGATGAGGATAGGTAGGAGGCTAGTCATGGAACCTTAAATTTGCATGGTTTGTTTCAGATTGCCATTGTATTTGTATTTTGTTTTATGTTTTTGTATTTTGAGACAGAGTTTCACTCTTTTGCCCAGGCTGTAGTGTAGTGGTGTGACAGCTTACTGCAGCCTTGACGTCCCCATGCTCAGGTGATCCTTTTGCCTCACCCTCCCAAGTAGCTGGGACTATAGGCACATGCCACCACAATTGGCTGTATTTCACACTTTATGTAGAGATGGGGTCTCACTATATTGCCAAGGCTGTTCTCTAACTCCTTGATTCAAGTGATCCACCCACCTTAGCCTCCCAACGTGCTGGGATTAAAGGCATGAACCACCATGCCTAACCTTCAGACAGCCTTGATACCATTAGCTCCTTAATAACAAAATAATAGTTCTTAATAAGTTATTCTATTATGGATTATTTGCTTTAATCATTTTTTTTTTTAAGGAAGTTTGTTTGGATGATTTTAACCTTTTTTTTGGGGGGGAGATGGAGTCTTGCTCTGTCACAAGGCTGGAGTGTAGTGGTGTGATCTTGGCTCACTGCAGTCTCCACCTCTTGGGTTCAGCAATTCTCCTGCCTCAGCCTCCCCAGTAGCTGGGACTACAGGTGTGCACCACCTTGCCCAGCTAATTTTTGTATTTTTAGTAGAGACAGGGTTTCATTATGTTGGCCGGGATGGTCTCAATCTCTTGACCTCATGATCCGTCTGCCTCAGCCTCCCAAAAAGTACTGGGATTTACAGGCATGAGCCACTGTGCCTAGCCCAATTTTCACCCTTTTTTGAAATGGAGTCTTGCCCTGTTTCCCGGGCTGGAGTACAGTGGCATGATCTATGCTCACTGCAACCTCCCACTTCTTGGGAGTTGAGGCAGTTTTCCTGCCTCAGTCTTCTGAGTAGCTGGGACTACAGGCGCATGCCACCATGCCTGACTAATTTTTGTATTTTTGGTAGAGACAGGTTTTTACCATGTTTGTCAGGCTGGTCTCAAACTCCTGGCCTCAAGTGATCTGCCTGCCTCAGCCTCCCAAAGCGCCGGGATTACAGGTGTGAGCCACTGTGCCCGGCTGATTTTAATTTTTAACATTGTCATAAATGGTACCTTGAATGTTTTATGTATGTATATATAGCATATACACATGCCCTATTTCTATGTATGTGTACCCTGTTTCTCTTTGCTATATTTTTTTACTTTAGCGCAAAGTAAATGAAAGTAAAAAATAATGGACTACTTTTAAATAAGTAGGGCCAGACTTGGGGCAGTGGCTCTCACCTGTAATCCCAGCACTTTGGGAGACCAAGGTGGGCAGATTGCTTGAGATCAGGAGTTTGAGACCAGCCTGGCCAATATGGTGAAACTCTGTCTCTACTAAAAATACAAAAAATTGGCCGGGTGCTGTGGCTTACGCCTGTAATCCAAGCACTTTGGAGACCAAGGCGGATGGATCACCTGAGGTCAGGAGTTCAAGATCAGCCTGACCAACATGGTGAAACTCCATCTTTATTTAAAAAAAAAAAAAAAATTAGCCCGATGTGGTGCCGGGTGCCTGTTACTCTGGAGGCTAAGGCAGGAGAATTGCTTGAATCCAGGAGGCAGAGGTTGCAGTGAGCTGAGATCAAGCCACTGCACTCCAGCTTGGGCAACAGAGAAATACTATAAATAAATAAATTAATGCCTGCATACATGTCAGCTCATGCCCCCAATCCAGTGCCCTGAGAGGCTGAGGCAGGAGGATCCCTTTGCCCAGGAATTTGAGACAAGCCTGGGCAACATAGGAAGACTCTATACAGAAAATAAAATAAAACTAACTAGGCATGGTGGCATGCACCTGTAGTCCCAGCTACTTGGGAGGCTGAAGCAGAAGGATTGATTGAGCCCAGGAGTTTGAGGCTGCAATGAGCTAATTGTGCTAATCCTCTTCAGCCTGGGCGATAGGTAGGCCCCCCCCATCTCAAAAAAAAAAAAAAAAAAAAAAAGAATATCTGTATTTTGTAAATATATTTCTCTTAAGGTTCTTCTACTTTTTCTTTCTGTTTATTATTTCTTCATTCTATCAGAATTTATAGTTTTTCCCGTCTTGGGAACATTGTCCCAAGGAGAGAGATTTAAACAGAAACAATTACTCTTCTCATTTATTTAAAGGAAAGTATTAATTTAATAGAAGAATGACTGGAACCCAGCCTCATATGCATCTCTCTGATAAATGATACTCTGTTCTTAGAATGAATTTTAGGTTTAAGTGCCAGCTCTCCATTTTCCAGCAATCCATATCGATTTAACTGTATTTGTAAAATTTATGAATGAGAACATTCCTCTATGGCCATACCACCCTGACTGTGCCTGATCTCGTCTGATCTTGGAAGGTAAGCAGGATCAGGCCTGGTTAGTACTTGGATGAGAGGACATTCATAGAAGGCACAACCCTCCTCTCTCCTAGTAAGTAGTTCTTTGATTAAAGAGATTTTCATTCAAAAAATATTTGTATATAGCACAATATAGCAAAATATATTTTATATATTATGAACTCATCAAATATCAGTTACAAACTCTGCCTCAGGGGTCTTGCAATTAATAAACATTCTGATTTCAAGGTAGAAAATAAATGCTACAGTGAAGGCATAGATTAAGTACCCTAGAAGGGTAGTTTGTAGGGGAGGGAGAGGACAGGCAAAATTAAGGAAGGTTTTAGAATACTTGATGGAAGAAGAAAATCTTAACAGACAAAAAATTGAAGAGAAGGTGTTTTCTGGGTATAAGAAATTGTATGTCAAAGTTTAATGACAAAAACAGTACACAAAATACGTGCTGTAAGAGTTGACTATTAATAAACTTCCTTTGGGAATGTGGGCACTTCCCAAAGGAGGTGGGAAATTGCAGGGCTTATATGAGAAGTAGCAAGTAGTTTGATTCAGAAGTTGGGAGGGAAGAAAGAAATTAGAAAAAGTATTCTAGGACTAAGGCAAGGGGAGCCATATGAATGTCAGGCTAAGGTGTTCTACGGAATAGTTGTTAAAATGCTCCAGGCCCTAGCTGTGCCATTTAACTTCCGACATTGGACAAGTTACTTATTTTGCTAAGTTAAAGTACACAATTGAACAAGGAGTCTGTTAAGAGGGTTAAATGTGATAATGTATGTCAGGTGCTTAGTAGTGAATTAATGGTACATAGTAAATTCTCAGTAAACAGTAGCTTAAATAAAAGACAACAAAAACTTGAAAATGGACACTGTTGTGATGATAGGAGTACTTCAGGAAAGTTAATCTGACAATACTCTAAAATGATTGGCAACTAGAAAGACTGAGGTTAGAGAGAAGCTCATAGAAAAGTTAAGAAGCTCATAGAAAAACCCATGCAAGAGATAATGTATGTATGATTTAATATATATTTGATTCTGCTGAAGTGCAGTAGCACAGTCATAGCTCATTGTAGCCTCAGACTCCTGGGCTTAAGCAATTCTCCTGCTTCAGCCTTCCAAGTAGCTAGGACTACAGGTGCATGCCACCATGCCTGGCTAATTTTATTTTATTATATTTTCTGTATAGATGGAGTCTTCCTATGTTGCCCAGGCTGGTCTCAAATTCCTGGGCGAAAGGATCCTCCTGTCTCAGACTCTCAGAGCGCTGGAATTGCAGGCATGAGCTGGCATGCATGCATGAGAAGGGAGAAGCTAGGAGTGTATGTAAGATGCAGAGGGAGAATTGATGGGAGGTGGTATAATTAATTATAAATATGTTTGGGGATATTATAGTTACGATATTTAAAATACTTAAATTTGACACCAGGGAGATAGCTAAATTGTCTAACAGGAGTTAGACTATTGTGTTTTTAGGATATTCATTTTTAAGCTACAAGTTAATATTAAAAACAATTGTCAAATTATGATATGTGGCTCACTTTGGCAGCACATACTGAAATTGGAGCAATGCAGAATAGAGATTAAAATTTTTTATAATGTAGGAAACTGGCATGTTAGTAGCCTAGTATCACTTTACATATGTAGTAGGAAAATTCAAACAAATCTACCATTTCTCTACTTGATTGCCTTTGCTGCATGACAAACTGAGTTTTTTTAGGTACTTTGAGCAGTAGCTGTTTTGTCACTAGAATCAGGTGCTAAAATAAACTTGTGGCCTGTTAGCATATGTAACAGTGAAATTAATGATTATGTTAAAATTTATTTTATGAAGCAGTCAGTTGAAGAGAAAAGATAAATTTTCTCTGATCGTATTTTAAAGGCAAAAGAATGATGTGATTTTGAAGGAGTCATGTAGTCAGCATGGTATCTTATAAACGTGTAACTAACACAGCACTGTGGATGCACATTAGGATTCACCCATCTGAATTTTAATTCATGTTCTATTGCTTCTAGCTACATGACTTAACTTTCAGTGCCTACATATGTGGAAAACGGATATCTGACCTGGCTATCTTTCAGGGCAATTGTAGAGATCAAATGAAGTAATATACTTGAAATTGGCTATAAAAATAAAAAACACTTTACAAATGTAAGATATGAATATGTAAATTATTTATAAATTTGCCCTTCTGCCCTATCCCTTTTGTGTCCTATCTAGCAGTTAACCTGCTAAAACTCAAAATTTAAATGCAATAATTAAAAAAATAGAATTTATCGTTTCTTTTCCAATTCTTATCCCTATCCCCGCCTTGTATCCAGAGACTTTATTCTATGCATTATCCATGCATTATCCTATTTTAAGGTTCCGTAATTCTCCTAGATTCAATTGTCATACTCAGTATTTTAGGGTTATATTTGGCTCCTGGTCTCCAAAACATGTGAAATCATCCTTTATAATAACCATTGTTTGAAGTGATCACTTTTCATTCCATCTGCTACTTCCCTTTATACCTATGTGTAAAGTATTAAAACATTATCTTTATTGGCCACTCCACTTAACATTTTCCCCTAGTCAACTCTGGTTACAGTATAGAGCAGATTTAGCTTTCAGAAAAGCTATTTTGTTGTTTTTTTCAGACTCAAAAACCTTTAGTCTCCCATTAACTTACAGGAGAAAATTCAAACAATTTAGTTTAGCATTCAGAGTCAACTCTGTCTTTATCTTCTGTCTCTTTACAGTGGCTCTGTTTCTTATCTAGACCGGTCGTGTTCTCCAGCTAGGCCATATATATTCTTCATTGTTAGCCATATACAGCAAAACCATTTTGCAGGTAATTTTAAACCATATCTTTAGAAATCCATTTCTAGCCAGTTTGAAAATGTTATGAATTACCTTTTATTTTAGTGCCTTTAAAAAGCTTTGCTAGCCTTTCAGATACATTTAGTCTCTTATTACTAAGGAGTTGAAGGTGATAACAGAGCAGTTCAAGTAACCAAACATTTGATATCCATGATACTCTTTGGCGTCTAACCAGTTTCTGCCATGAGTGTGTGGTTTTGAATATTTCCAAAGGCCTTCAATTTGTGTTTAATAGAAGCAAATAGGGAATTTTCATTGATGAAAAGTGAAACACTTTTTACTTTAATCTTGAAAGATTTTCCATCTCTTCTGTTAGTGTAGGGTAAGACTAAAGAAAAATAATGGCAAGAGTTAAGAGCTTCTGTTCTGAAGTCATACAGACTTGGCCCGAGTTTTAGCTCTACCCCTTGGATTTCTGACCTTGAAAAACAACTAAACCTCTCCCTACTTCTTTTTCTCATCGGTAAATTGATGATAACTTTGAGGAGTTGGAAGGATTGAGAAGATATATGGGAAATTCTTGGCACTGTGCCTAGCAAGTAGTGTTGCTGCTTTTACTTCTACTGTAAGCTCCTTCATCACTGCTTACTCAACCATTTAAATAATTGTTTTGCTCCTGTCTTCTATAAAATAGAGATAGTAATTCCTTTTATATTTTTAGAGATGGGGCCTCACTGTGTTGCCCAAGCAGTAGTACACTATTCACAGGCATGATCATAGCCCCACTATAGCCAACTCTTGAGCTTAAGTGATCCTCCCACCTCAGGCCCCCATGCAAGCAGCTGGGAATACAGGTGCCTGCCATGGCACACGGCAGTAATTCCTTTAAATGAACATACAACTATGGTGTAAGGATTAGATGATGTCATGGACATGAAAAAAATATGTATAAGAGTACCCGTTATAACCGTAGAAAGTTTATTTTAAAGTGTTTGTCAGGCCAAATACTGTTTTATAAAACCTGTCTCCTCATTTGTCATTGGGGATGATAGTATTTAAATTTGTAGGATAGTTTGAAGCTTAAGTGTATTTAATATATATAGCACAGTGTTAAGTACACAATGAGAATCAGTAAATGTTAGTAGTATTAGCTATGATTATTAAATATGCTTTGGCTGTCTTTTTTTAGTCTTGCCTTATTTGGACCACTCTTGATGTAACTGTTTATCTTTTTTTTTTTCTTTTTGAGATGGAGTTTCTCTCTTGTTGCCCAGGCTGGAGTGCAATGGCGCAATCTCCGCTCACCGCAACCTCCACCTCCTGGGTTCAAGCGATTCTCCTGCCTCAGCCTCCTGAGTGCTGGGATTAGAGGCATGCACCACCACGCCCGGCTAATTTTGTATTTTTAGTAGAGATGGGGCTTCTCCGTGTTGTTTAGGCTGGCCTCGAACTCCCAACCCCAGGTGATCCGCCCACCTCTGCCTCCCAAAGTGCGGGGATTACAGGCGTGAACCACTGGCACCTGGTCAATACTGTATGTTTTTAAAATTAGAAATCGACAGTTTAGTTTCGCTGCATGCCACCCCCAGCTCCGAGTAGAACGCTGTCTGCAGCCTGCACATTTTGCAGCCGCCGATTCGCCACTGTTCTCAACGCCACTTTCACTCACCAACACTGACACCAGCATGAACGGGCAGCTCAACGGCTTCCATGAGGCATTCATCAAGGAGGGCATGTTCCTCTTCACCTAAGTGTCGGTGGGGGAAGTCCACCCAGATAAGATTTGTGAACAGATCAGTGATGCTGTCCTTGATGCCCACCTTCAACAGGATCCTGATGCCAATGTAGCTTGTGAAACTGTTGCCAAAACTTCTTGCTGGGGAAATTACATCCAGAACTGCTGTTGACTACCAGAAAGTGGTTCGTGAAGCTGTTAAACACATTGGGTATGATGATTCTTCCAAAGGGTTTGACTACAAAACCTATAATGTACTGGTAGCCTTGGAGCAACAGTCACCAGATATTGCTCAAGGTGTTCATCTTGACAGAAATAAAGAAGACATTGGTGCTGGAAACCAGGGCTTTATGTTTGGCTATGCCACTGATGAAACTGAGGAGTGTGGCTTTAACCATTGTCTTGGCACAGAAGCTTAATGCCAGACTGGCAGAACTACGCTGTAATGGCACTTTGCCTTGGTTATGCCATGATTCTAAAACTCAAGTTACTGTGCAGTATATGCAGGATCGAGGTGCTGTGCTTCCCATAGAGTCCACACAATTGTTATATCTGTTCAGCATGGTAAAGAGGTTTGTCTTTATGAGATGAGGGATGCCCTAGAAAGTCATCAAAGCCATTGTGCCTGCAAAATACCTTGATGAGGATACAATCTACCACCTACAGCCAAGTGACAGATTTGTTATTGGTGGGCCTCAGGGTGTTACTGATTTGACTGGACAGAAAATCATTGTGGACACTTACGGCAGTTGGGGTGCTCCTGGAGGAGGTGCCTTTTCAGGAAAGGATTATACCCAGGTTGACTATTCAGCTGCTGATGCTGCTCATTGGGTGGCAAAATCCCTTGTTAAAGGAGGTCTGTTCCAGAAGTTCTTGTTCAGGTCTGTTAGGCTATTGGAGTTTCTCATCCATTATCTATCTCCATTTTCCATTATGGTACCTCTCAGAAGAGTGAGAGAGAGCTGTTAGAGATTGTGAAGAAGAATTTCAACCTCTGCCTTCATGTCATTTTCAGGTATCTGGAAAAGCCAATTTATCAGAGGACTGCAGCCTATGGCCACTTTGGTAGGGACAGCTTCCCAAAGGAAGTGCCCAAAAAGCTTAAATATTGAAAGTGTTAGCCTTTTCCCCCCCAGACTTCTTGGCGTATACTACAGAGAAGACTTCAAGCTCTGAGGGAAAGGGCCCTCCTTCCTAAATTTTTCTGTCCTCTTTCAGCTCCTGATCAGTTGCAGTCACTCTAGTCAATGACATGAATTTTAGCTTTTGTGAGGGACTGTAAGTTGGGCTTGCTATTCTGTCCCTAGGTGTTTTGTTCACCATTATAATGAATTTAGTGAGCATAGGTGATCCATGTAACTGCCTAGAAACAGCATTGTAGTAAATAATGCTTTGAAATTGAACCTATCACCCAACGCTCCAAAGTCCTAATTGCATTGACTTTCCCACCAGATGCTGAAAATGTCCTTGTAATGTGACCAGACATACAAAGAGGAGCTGGTACCACTCCTTCAGAAACGATTCCAAACAATCCAAAAAGAGGGAATCCTTCCCACATCGTTTTATGAGACCAACATCATCCTGATAACAAAACCCAGCAGTGACTCAACAAAAAAAGAAAACTTCAGGCCAATATCCATGATGAACACAGATGCAAAAATCTTCAATAAAATACTGGCAAACTGATTGCAACAGCACATCAAAAGCTTATCCATCACAATCACATAGGCTTCATCCCAGGGATGCAAGGCTGGCTTGACATATGCAAGTCTATAAATATAATCCACCACATAAACAGAACCA